TGCGGGTGGCTGGCAGCAGGGCACCGCGGAACGAAGGGCGAGGTGCAGTGTGCTGGAAGCAGAAACGCCTTGTCTTTCTCCAGGTAAATTGTATCAACATGCCACCACAGAGGCCTCCCAGGCCACCTTGGCTAGCGTGTCTCCTGTTTTTGCAGTGGTAAGTGACTGCAGGCGTTTCTGCCAACGAGGGCAGCTTGTGCAAGACGATGGTGCTCGCTTTATTTTTTATTTTCTTAAAGCATCGTAAAGAGCAGATGGATTAGACTGTCAGAGAACATCCCTAGTTCTAAATTGTTGGTTTAAGGTACTCTGACTTGAGGACCAGTTACGGCATGCAGCATTAATCAGGATATTTTTCTAAGATCCAGCATCTGCTGGAAGTTCTCTTGCTTTAATTGTGAAGGCAGGTCAACTCTTAGAAGTGCTGCAGTCAGAAAGTTCCTTGAAAAGCTTGTCAAGGCTTTCTGACACCTGTTAGAAATATTATTCCTGTGTCTCGGTAGCTGCATTTCGAAGCAAACGTAGGATTTGGGGAAAAACAAGCGCGCTCTCTATTATTTTTTAATGTGAGTGGGAAAGCCATTTGCAAACTGCTTGATTGACACGTGCATGTGAGGGAAGGTAAGGCCTCCTTGCTGAGAATGAAAAGCAGTCATTCTGCGACAAGGTGCATGCAGCTAGGTCCTTTTGGCCATGTCACCCCTGGTGCAGCTCTCCTGGAATGTACGCTTAGGTATGTTTAGTTCACATAAAGTTATTTTTAAAGCCAGTAACGTGGAATTGAGCTACACGGTTTATGAGCAAACAGGCAAACTTTCCAATTAAACCAGGCATGGCGGTTTTTCAAATAAAATAATTTTACTAGGAGATACAGTTGTTAAATAAATAACCTGAATGACAGGTGCTAAGACAAGAAGGATTTGGATGCAGGTTACTAGCTGAATAGCATGTTAATGCAATACTTGACATGGGCACATGGCCTAACTACCCAGTTTGTGTTGCGCTCTACTTTTTAAATTTTATTTGTAAATTTTGCAGGTTGCTTCAGAGGAAATAGCAAAATGCCCTGCTGATCTCTTCTCTCTGGTATCCAGTGATAGGATGTGTGGGTATGGTTCAAAGCTGCACCAGGGGATGTTTAGACTGGACATGAGGAAGCATTTCTGTACCCAGCAGGTGCTCAAACCCTGGAACAGGCTTCCTCAAGAGGCGATCGATGCCCTATGCCAGTCAGTGTTGACGAGGCATTTGGGCAACACCGTGATTCACATGCTTTACCTTTTGGCCAGCCCTGAAGTGGTCAGGCAGTTTGGACTCGATGATCATTGTAGGTCCTTGCCAACCAAAGTAGTCTATTCTATTCTAAGTCTGACCCTCTGTAAATCACCTCCTTTCCAAGGTTTATGTGGGAACATGGTCATGCAGATGACACTGGTTTTGTTTGGTGTGTATACAAACACAGTGAAATATATGGAAATTTGGTGCAGTATTTTTCTTAATTGGGATGAACTGTGAGAGAGGGCATAAAAAAGTTGTTTTTTCTTCATAACGTATTTTCCATTTGACTTCTAGGCAACTGCAAACAATTTTAGAAATTGACTTCTTGTTTTATAGCAGTTCTGTGGAAAAAAAATATACTTTTTTTTTTTTCCCTACTCCTTTAGATGAAGCTTGACAAAGAGGGAAATACTACCTATTTTGGTGAGTTTTGAGCATAGTTTGGTTGGTTTGTTCTTTCTTTGTCTTTTTTCCCTAGTCCAATACAGAAAAGTCCAATTGGGAATCTACATGGGGTGGAAAATTATATTTGGGATACTTCACTCTGTTTATTTGGGATGTCGCAACACTTCCTCTCTTTTGCTGCCTTCTATTGGTCTTCATAGCATCTTTATTGTTACAATTTTTGAATATTTTTAAGTAATATTTTGAAAATCACATATACCATCTCTCACAGGAAGGTCATTTCTACTTTGCCTTTTCCCTTTTTGACCAGCATGCTACTTTCCCTGCCTTGTATTTCCCTTCCTGTAGGTTTACACATGCTTTCTCAAACGAGTCATTTAGTTCCTGATATGGAATTAATTGTCATGGCCAACTTTTTCATTTGTATCTAGAATTTTTCTCTTTCCACTCAAGATACAGTCTTCTAAACTTTGTAAAAGATAAATTACGTTGAGGAATCAACGTGAGGAAAACTGTTTTAGAGATAGCACAGCTTTTTTTTTTTCTTTAGTGGGACTTAGTAACACCCTAAAATGTGATTTCAGAACAGTAATGATTGTACCCTAAATGTCTTCATCTAAAAATATTTTGATAGAAAAGAAGAAAACAGAATTATACCAGGAATTGGGTCTTCAGGCTCGAGATCTAAGATTTCAACACCTAATGAGCATTGCAACTAGGAACAACAGGATCATCATGAGAATGGAGGTAATGGTTTCCCTATAGCCAAGTCTAAACTTGAACTGCGTCTTATCCTTTCCCTTGCATTTTCGTGCACGGTTCTTTTAATACTGGCTTCCTATGACACGCGATCCAGCAGTTAGATGCGTCTGTGGAGCTCTGCCTAGCAATCGGAGGTATGGGTTTACCAACAGTACCTATTAGTGACCATTTTCCTCGTGGACCACAGGAGAAACGTTACTAACATGGTCATAGAAGTAAAGGCTTAGGAGGAGCCTGTTCTCAGTCGTACCACCACTAGCACAGTGCTGTGTCTGAACCGTGGGGAATCCACTAGTTTGCAGTTAGCATGAGATTCTGTTATTTTCCTGCCTGAAAAAGACATTTGAAGAGTGGCTTTATTAAAGCCTAAATAATCAAACGCACTACAGGCTTATGAGAAATCTTCAGAGAGTTTTTTTTCCCCAACTCCTGCATTCACTGTCTTTTTCAGTTCTTGAAGGCCGTCATAACACCAGAGTTTCTTCTGATACTAGATTATCGTAATTTAAATCTGGAGCACTGGCTCTTCAATGAACTAGCATCTCAGCTGGCTGGGGAAGGTCAGCTGGTCACATATTCCCTGCCCTTTGAATTCCGAGCCATAGAAGCAATCCTGCAGTACCGGGTGAGCTATCTCATTTTTATTTAAATTGTTTTGGCAGTTTTTGCTTCATAGAATGGACAGTATGATTTTATTCTTGTGTTAATAGTTATACATGCACATTTGTATATGTATTCCACACTTGCTGTAGGAGCTCTTTTTTGGTTTTGGCTTTTGTTGCTTTAGTTCTTGTGGTTTTGTTGTTTATGTGTGTTTCCATTTCCTTCCCAAGGAAGTGCTAATTGGATGCGATGGCTTTGCCATCATTTGGACAATTAAAAAAAACAAGTCAGAATACCTTTCTAGACACATGCTGTAGCTGAAATGGAAGTAACACAAAAGCGCTGAGGTTTTTGGCTTCTTGGGCAGGAGTCAGTGGTTTCTAGCTATCCTTAAAAATCTGCTTGCTAATGCTAATATGACATTTCTAGACAAATAGTGTTTTAGCTTTATCAGCCTTATTGGTGTGGTTTTCACTGAGTTTCAGTTCAGCGCAAATCACTTTTATAAAGTACTGTATTTTGCACTGGCTTTATCTTGTGATATCCCAATAGCAAGTGTTTCCCGGGCATTGGAAAGCAGACTGTGTTAACTGCCCATTACTGTGAATTCTGTGTTCAGAGACAGGAGTCAGTTGCCCAAGTCATTCTAAAGGGATTGCTTTAATTCTTATGAAGGATCATGTTGTTATCTAGATCAGCAAACTGCAGGGGAGACTTAACACTTTGCAGCCTCAGATCCTTGAGACACTGGAAGCTCTAGTGGACCCCAAGCTTTTGTCTGTGGATAGGAGTAAACTACACATTCTCCTGCAAAATGGCAAGAGGTAAATAAGAGTAAGCTGTGAAGACACTAGAAGATGACGATAGAAAATTATGTGCGATGAAATGTTAGAAAAAATGGTATCGAATACTAATTTCCTAGATTACTGTAATGCTGGGTTGTGCATCTTACTTGCAAGTGTAAAAATTGGTATATGAAACAACTAGCGATACGGGGGAAAACAGAAAAAGGGAAATCTATTCTGAGTCATCAGAAATACAGTCGAACTTCTTAAATAGCACCTACAGAACAAAATAATACCTAAGAGAACAAAATAACATCATTAAAATGTTCCCCGTAATGTAAAACAAGATTAGCCTTTGGATCTGTGCTTTAAAGTTACTAGTGCTAATACACTGGTACCTTCACGTGTCAGCCTTTCTGATACGGCAGTGCAAATACGCACTTGCTAGATGCTCACGGAGTGTTTGTTTTTTCTGACTTACGAATATATCCAGAAAACACATCTGAATCCCTTTTAGTGTGTGTCTGTAGCTCGTTGGTCCCCACACATTTCACTGGCACTGCTAAGTGTGTGGCCTGCAGAGAATTTTTTGGAGGAGCTCTTAGAACCCTGCAAGGAAGTCTTCCCTGGCCACTCTGTCTGGCGAGGGTGATGGCTGGCAAACTCATTTAGAGATTACCTTTGTGCACTGGTGCCAGTGGGGATTACTTGACCTTTTGCCTGTTCTTTCTTCAGCTTGTCAGAACTGGAAACAGATCTTAAAGTTTTCAAAGAAACAATTCTGGAGATCTTAGATGAAGAAGAATTAATAGAAGAACTCTGTCTATCTAAATGGACTGATCCACAAGTATTGTATGTATATTTTCAAACCACATACTTTTTTAACGGTATGTTTTGTTCAAGGAGAACTTGAACACTAAAGTAGTTGTTCCCTGCCGAAAAGCAGAAAGGCAAAGACTTTCAAATTTTTTTAAAGCCCTAATGCTTGCTGCTTCAGAAATCATTGTATTTGCCATTTTGGAGAGGGACTTCATTACCACTGGTCATAATATGCAGTTCCAAATAATTCTTGGTATAACAGGCCAGCTCATCTAGTATGTAACAGAATGGGAGCAGGGTGGCAGGAGGAGAAAAAGCAAATGTTATTTTCCAATATAAATTCACCCTTTCTGGGAGAAATTTCTTCAGTTTCACCAAAAAACCGAAGAGGCAGGTTTTAAAGCTTGTCTTGAATAGGTCAGACACCACACTTCATTTGTTAGAAGTGTTCTGAACACTTTTCTGCTAGGTTTTTGCTCACCAGCAGAACCTGAAGGAAAGAGGCCCTGGAGCAATCTTGTGCACCTGAAGAGCAGCATTTCAGGAAAAATGTACATCCAAAAATAGTCCTATTGCACTCACTCAAGTTCTGGTGAAAGGCAGCACACAGCAGCAGCAGCACTGGTTGCTGTAACAAAACTAAAAAGCAAAAAGATAATGTATGTCAGATCCCCATCTGGTTTGGGTAGAATTGTATTTAAATCTTAGGCATACAGACATGTTCTGTGTTTAAGCAGGTAACAGAAACTATCTTTAGGGTCCTTTGCCCAGTTGCTGAAGAATACTTTTGCCTAACTGCATTGCATGTGGGTATTAATACTGTTCACACAGTAGCATGGGTTTGAAATTAGGAGATCATTTCTTGCCCTGCAGAGCTTAGTCTAAATGTACAGCAGAAACTCAGTATTCCAGGAGTGGGACATGGTTTGCATTTCTAATGCATCTGCTGGAGCGGTACCAGGAGGGCTCTGAATTCCAGGCTGCTCCTGAGCCCACGGCTGGTCTTCATCCTGGTTTTGCTCACAGCCTTCCTTTGGACTTAATACAAGCTGCTGGCAAATCTCTTCTCACCTCATGGTAGACAATGTGTGGGGAACGTCTTACGAAAGGTACCAAGGCCACCTTACGTACTCATGTCAGGAGAAAGCTGAAGTCATCCCTTCTTTCAGACACTGTTGCACAAGGGTAGGAGAGGTGGTGGGAGGTTGTGTGGAGAGTGCTGGAGCCCTGCTACAGGGTGCAGCGAGGCCGACCACACAAGGCATGCCAGGAAACGCTAGCCGTGACAGTGCATTTGCAGACAGGCCAGCAGTGTGCGGGCAGCTCTTTTGGCTCAAGGATTGATGCAGGTGATGTGTGGTCTTTGATGAACTCGGGAAGCCTGAGAAGGTGTGGAGGAACCCAGTTAGGCATGCAGGTGCTGTCAGAGATCATTTGTGGCAGGAATGGTGAGCTGAGCCTGAAGGATAAGATGAGGCAGACATCGTATCTGTCTGAAGGGATGGCAGACTGTCGAAGGTTCATGAGACAGATGGAGGCTAGTTAATGAAAGCAAATCCGGTGGCAGTTATTTTCAAGTCCGTATGCCTGGTGTTGCCCTTTGTATATCCACAGAGGAGCCAGTGTAAAGGTACTCATCAAATGGTAAGACCTTGAGCTGCATCCATAATACAGCAGATACTGCTCTGAAGCTTTCAAGTCTGCAACTCCTCTCATCGGCATGCAATAAAAACCTCAAGGTCCAAAGGGCTTTAAAAGTCAGCCTAGCTAACTCAAATGTTTCTGCCCCGTAAGAGAGAAACTAGGGGCTCTGTTAAAAGTCCTCAGGGAGCTTACATGGGTTGATCCTTAAGAGTTATCACTTATTTTCTTGGAAAACCATTTCAGAGAGGTTTCTTTAACAGTCAGCAATGCCATGGAGGATATTCTTTAAAAAGTTTAGTCTCTCTAGAGAAATGAGGTCATACTACAAAAGAAAAAAATATGAAGAAACTTCCTGGCTTTGCCGCTAGTTTCCAAGCTCTTGTGGATCTCAAGTGCCTCGGCTTTCATCTACACGGTGAGCAGTCCAGTATGCTGCCAGAAACAATCATGCCTGTTCCAGAGAAGTCTGCTGTGCCAGCAGCGGGACCATGAAGTAAGGTGAAAGTCTCTCAGACAGACTTCACTGAGGAGAGCAGCGTCTTCCTTTTGATGCTGACTCTTCGGCTGCTTCACGCTCCCAAAATGTTTTGCAGTAATTACTGTGTATAGCTGAAACACCTTATGACTGAACTATTTTAATATACACCTAAAACATCTTCCTCGCCGTGTAATTGTTTGTGTGTTGACTTTCGGTTATGTATTCTTGGGAGTTTTTGACTGCACTGTTACCAGCTTTCACCACTTGAGGGCGCCAAGAAATTAAGCATCTCCTTTCAAAATTGTCAGCACTTTACAGTAACAATATAAACGTTTATAGTAATATAAACTTTATAAATAATATAAAATGTATATAACTTTTCAACATCTGAAAAAGTAAGATTTGTGGTGTTGTGCATGCCTTGAGCACATCAAATGCTAACTCCTCTGCTCAAAATAATTGACTGCCTATGCTGATCAGCTGATAGATATAAAAATATGCCTTTTATTTTAAGCTGTTGGTACTGATGGAAGTTCCTCACTTGAAAAGATTGGATTTTGAGATCTAGTTTCTAACAGCATGCTTGTTGGCTGTTCCCCACAACTCTTACGTGCCTTGTCTTAACACATCAATACTATACTTCTATACAAGGTGTAGCTAACCAGAAAAATATAAATTGTTGCTCACAGTGAGGGGAGTACAGCTGGGATTGACCATGCAGAGGAGATGGAGCTACTGCTGGAGAACTATTACAGACAAGCAGAAGATCTTGCAAATGAAGCTCGTGAACTCAGAGTACTGATTGACGACTCAGAAAGCATAATCTTCATCAACCTGGACAGGTTAGCTACCCTATCTGTTGGACTGCCAAAAGCTGAGCAGAATTTAATGCTGTCTAGTCTTTCTCAAATCTGCCTGCAAGGAAGGTTGGGGAATTCCGTCTTCGTGAGGGTTTGAATGGACTTGCAGTCACAGCGCGAGAAGCTGCATTGCACTTTTCTTATCAGTGAACTGGATAAAGCAAAGCAACAAGACACCCTAATTAGTATGTGTAAAAACCTCTCTAGCCAGGCATCAGGTCTCCCCAGCAGGAGAAACCAAGCTGCTTCTAGATCCTTCTGGGGAGCTATTCACTAAAGAAAATGTCTGCAAATTTAGGGGCAAAATAAAATTCTACTCAGGGAAGTGTACTCTTAATTCAGCAAAACTGAATTATCTAAGAGTCTGGCTGGGCTGCTCAGATGTTCAGTACAAGTTGCGTTATCACGCTATGGAGTGATATGAGAACGAGTAACTTTGGAGCGAGTATTTTCTCTCTGTATGCTACAGTTTTCACTGCTAGTCAGCTTTCTCACTGAAAAGTAAGCGTAGCTTGCATTTGCAAGCACATGCCGCTCTGTCTTCGAGGTCAGTGTTTAATGTTCTGTCTCCTCTTTACTGGGGAGTTATCTGTAGAAGCAGTTGGTGGATGCTGCATCAGGAAACCACAAAAATCCTTTGGGGCAAGACTCGAATATGGAATTCTCCAAAACAGGCTCAAGTTTATAGTCTGCAGCATTTACCGACTCTACTTCTTTCTAAGTATATTCATTTGCAAGGTAGCAGTAAATTTTTGTTTCTTGTGGATACGGACATACGAATTCCAGCCAGTTCGTGGTGGTGAGAGAACACAAATTTCCGCGGAAATTTACTGTTACTCTGTGTATATACACCTCTAAGAAGTGAGCAATGCTGGCAAGTCTGCTGATGATTAAGCAGAACCTGCTGCCTTAGAGGTATCCTGATGCAGCAATTTCAAAACGATAGCCTCTTTATACTGTTGTTTCATGAGCTTTGTCACTGGGTTGCCTAATTCCAGCACAAATTCCTCTCTTTCACTGTTTGGTTTTAGTGCATGCTGTACGGAATTTGAAAATTTAGGCAGCAAATATTTTTGGGTTCCCCTTACAGATGTTTCTCCCTTCTTTAGCCACCGTAATGTGATGATGAGACTGAACTTGCAGCTGACTATGGGGACTTTCTCTCTGTCTCTCTTTGGACTCATAGGAGTTGCATTTGGTATGAACTTGGAGTCGTCTCTTGAAGAGGTAAGGAATGAGCACTGCTTTTATCAGTGACAGAAAACACAGGCCCTACTCTTATAGTGCACTCTATATTTAGTACAAGTTCATTCCACAGGTGTGGAGTTCAGTACAACAGTTCAGTACAACATCCATTCTGTACAAGTTCATTCTTTCTGTGGGTAGAGCTCCAGATTTGTAGTAGTGTGTGAACATAATTTAGTCCAGTGATTCATGTGTTCACGCAGTCACTTTTTTGTAAGCAAATTACTGTATGGCTAACTGCACATTACTGCAGCCTTTTATCTATGTAGTGTCCATGGAAAAGAAACAGGAAGACAAATGTATGGTTGTATATGGACTGCCTGTAAAAGAGGTATGAAGGTTTCTTCATCCCTTCTTCTGAAAAGAGCAGCTTTGTCTGCCAGGTACAAGGCAAGCAGCCAGGGCATTTCCAGAACACCAGAGGAAATACTCTACGGTCAATTACATGTTTATACCTAGAGGGGAATGTAGAGGGTGGTACAGACTGGTGGTACAAATTTACAATTGCACATGCTATCTTTAAAACAAAACAAAAAACCAAACCAAAGCAAAGACTTTTTCCTTTCCAGTCCATTAAATAAAAGTGTTGAATTTCCAAACTTCCTGATGAAGGAAGGAAAATCACATGGGACAGTAGCAGCATACACTAGGGTGATTCCTAAATAGAATGCTTTGCTGTGAAACAGCCCTTTTCCCAAGGTAGGGCTTGATGGTAGAGAGTTTACCACTTCTTCCCATAAAGGAGGAGAACACTGGTGAGGAGCAAGAGATTATCTTTGGATAATTCCTTTTCTGAAGAGAGAGTGGCATGACTAATGGGAATGTTCTGTTGGTAGGACCCCAGAATATTTTGGCTGGTGACAGGGATTATGTTTCTTGGAAGCGGTCTGATATGGCGACGCTTGCTTTCCTTCCTTGGGCGGCACCTAGAACCTCCACTACCTCCTCACGTACGTATGGCTGGCCTGGGTTTCTGCTTCAGCCTCTGCGTGTACGGCCCATTTCTAAAGCAGGAATTAAGCCGTTGCAGAAGGGTGGGCCACAGAGCGTGGGGAGATGCAGCTCGGTGTCTGCTCCTTGACAAAGGAGAAGGTTCTCCCTAGCTGGGTGGAATGCGGTGGGAAGCCCCAGCACCGGCAAAGGCACGCTTGAGCAGTAAGATACTGTGCAGGTTTGCCAGAAGTGAAGTTGCAGGCTGTGCCTTGAGACACGCTTACTGATTTCCACCTGTCCGCCTAGGGGAAGCTGGGGCTAATGGTAGAAGCAGCCCTAATTTCCCTTCTCTGCTGCTGCAGCAGTCTGTCCATAGTGGGGGACATCACGGATGCTGCCCTCCTGCAGCAAGGATTAGCAAGATTTTGCGTGGGTCATTTTCCCTGCTGACTTACCCTTTCCTGCCAAAGCTTGTGGGACTGTATTGTCTACCTCTGTTCTGCACTATGTAACAGGGAAGTATCCGTGGATTCAAAAGTTAAGTTGCTACAAGTGATGAAAGGAAGGGAGACCCAGATAAACTCCCTTTCTTTCTTCCCTCCCCTCCCTCACCACCAAGAGGCAGATGGAAGTAGTTTGTTGTGGATTGTTGACTATGGCTACAACTAACTGGATTATCCTCAAACATTGCTCAAAACCAACTCCAGCACATACTGACTCTGGCTTGGAGAAATGAACTGAAAGGGATTAGGGAGAGAGAAGCCAGTGTTCTCAAAACAAGAGGAGAAAAATCAGGGTTCAGGCCTCTGTGAAACTTTATTTCCTTCTGCTGCATACAGAGCAGCTTCTCATGTAATCACAGGCTATTTTGTATCTTCCCTAGGTTCCTGCAGTTTGGAAAAAATCCCAACCGGCATCTGGAAGAGTGGAGATAAAGAGCAACCTTAAGGCAGAAGCATTTGGGCTGAGCAGAAGCGCATTAACAAACCAATAGGAACAGCAGGACTGACTTTCGTTGTTACAGGGTGGACTTTGGATACTTCCCTTGCATTTGTTCTTCCTTACTGAAAACTGCAAGAATTTCTATACTTGCTAATTTAATATTTATTTTGTGCCAAAAATCTATGGTGAGATTTTAATGCTCACATGCAAAAGGAGAGAAACACAAGGGAAAACAGTGACATGCTTTCCTCAGTCGTCTCTACCTCCACCCCGCCTATGTTCCATTAGGTTTCTGTATCACATACAAGTACTTACTCTTTGGGCATTCTCATTCCAAGTGTTTCTGCCAAATACTTCTTTGCATAATGGCCTTTCTTAAAGAGAACAGTATTTTCAGCTTAAAGGATGATCATCAATAATTCTGGTTCCAAGCTGCAGATTTAGGACTCTGACTTCAAATGTGAAAGAAAAATCCACCCCAAAAGTGGCCTTTTTCATGGATTTTTGAAGGCCCTATTTAACTGCAGAGAGGAGATGTTTCCAAAGCAAAAAGCATACCTGCACCACTTGTGAAGCATCACCTCTAAATTGGCAATAACCAGAAATAATAGTTTCCCTTATTTTAACTGAGCAATAACAGGCTTTGAAGTGTAACTACCTATCTTGGGTGTTCCTTAACAATTCATTTAGGCCCCAAACTTACGTGGTTTTAGTAACGGGAAAAGCGGGAAGCCTAGTGTCCTGTGATGGGCAGAAGGAAGGGGTAAAATTCTTATGCCTGCTATTTGTGTTTTTTCTTAGGGCTTATCTCTGAACTCTGAGGGCATAGTTCTCCACTGGTTTCTCTCAGTCTGTAGCGGGAGCATGAAATCCTAAATCAGGTCACAAACTGTCTTATTTCTTGTTCGGGGTTTTTTAACCTCTCTCTAACATACAGTGAGTAGCTCCTCACCAGATTAATCCACCAGATTAATCACTGTACTGGCAGGGGTTGAAAAGACAGAAACTGTAGGTGTGAACATTTTTACTTATGACTAGCAGGTCAAAAATGGAAATAAAAAGGTACATAAATTAAAATGATGCAGGCCTGTGATCCTAGTTTGATTAAAATTGGTTGTACATAATTATTTTCAAACAGTTGTTCTTGCTCTGCATGTGACTTCAACTACAGATACAAAAGGCATGAGAAGGTGAGAAAATTAATGGGGTTTGCAATGTTTTTGAGTTTTTTAGCTACATTTTTTGCAGCCTTTTTCCTTAGCAGGTAGAGATGTAAAAAACCTCCAAACTGAGCAACCCAGTGGAAAAACAACGGCTCGCTTACCTTGGCTGATAAACTGGGAAGCCCAGTGTGTGAAGGGATCTGGATGCCAACGTTTTCAACCAAGTTGTAGTTGCATTAGGCCAGGACTGAAACATGTTGGTGCAGCTGTTTGGGAAGCTTTCACATAAGCTTTCTGAGCTCTGTCTTTTGTGCAGAGAGGCTTCTGTGAACTGTATTGACTCCTTTTCCTGTACATAACTGACTTAAAGCACAATAAAAGCACCAAGAGAAAAACACATCTTTGACAAGACTGCCTTTCTCTCTACAGACATACGCAAATGTTTAATGGTTTTCTTACAATTCAAGTAAGCAAAATTCATTCATGTGCAATAAAATTAGTCTTGATTTCATATGCAGAAATAAACCAACGCCAGCGGAGGCTGCATGTTCAGAAGGGAATGGCTACAGAACATACTGGTTCCATCAGTTTTCATTTAAAAAGGAAAATGTTTGTTTTTATTCTGCCCTTATAAATACACTGCTCATTTTGCCTCATACTGCAGTTCACAGATTTGTAAGGTAAGTACTGTGCTCCCAGTTCCATATGTTTACTACTTTCATAAAGTTCAGATTTTAAGGTTTTTTAAGTGTTCTGCTATTTTGGGAAATAAAGTCCCCAAAATAGATGTCAGAATGCATTATACATTGAGCTAATGTTCACCTTGCCTTTTTATTTTTATTTTTTTTTTTTTGAAAGAAAACAAACCTCTCTCTGAGAGAGCATTCCTAAGAAGGGAAGTTGCAGTGTGTCATCTTGGAGTATGACCGTTAAGAGTTCAGTGCTATTCCACTGACTTCTGTTATTAAAAATAATGCTTGTATGTTTGTGAAGGAGGCAAGAGAGAGAAAATACGTATGTATCTGCAGACTAGTGTTGGTAATAATAGCATCACATCTTGCTGCTCAAGTTGTTTAATAGATAATTGATGCACACTCTGTTAAACCTGCATTACACAAAATTTGTGTTAGTTGAAGACAATACTGTTAACAATTCTAAGTTACTATGGTAATGGAATTTTACATGAAAACACAAAGAAAGAGCATCAGAGTAGTCTCAGCCATGAGTGCAAAAGCATTTCCTACAACCCTTATCAGCTTTCCTCCCTGGGAGATCCCAGCTGTTGCAGGCCACTAGACTTGCTAGAGAGGCAGTCCTTTTGATGGGCACCCCCTTTCTGTCTGGCTTAGAGCTGCCCCTCCCACACACGCATTAGTTTGACAGCAACTTTTGATATCTGAGAATCCCTGCCTGTATCACAGTATCCAAGGCTCTGTAAAGTACATGCTATTCTTTCCTGGTTTTGTCAGGAAAATAAATCTGACCAGTAAAGAAGGTGACCACTGAACATTCCTTATACAGCCAATTACTACCAAAATTCAGCTGCCTGCTCATTTCAGCCTCTAAAAGGTTTTCAGACCAGCTTGCTTGTTCTAGGTTAAGTGATGCTACTGCTCACAACAGGATTAATTTGTGCTTTTACATGACTGACATAGTTTTGGTTGGTTTATAAGTCAAACCACCATAAATGCTCATATTCCCCTTCACTTAAAAACAATGACCGTCTCCCCCTCCCTCCCTTAATACTATCTAGGACCCTAGCTAGCTATTACCTGGGATGTCTATCAAAAGTTTGCTGTTGTGGTCTGTTGGTTTGTATGGGTTAAGGAAAGTATCACAGATACTACAGAGATTCTTCACTAAAAGACCAGTCGTGCCCTGGTCTTAAAGGCCACCATGAACTTCTAGAGTGAGTAGACAAAAAGCCTTCCACCAAGTCGAGCTTTCGCTGAACTTCTCTCTGCTGCCACTACAACTTCTTTCTGCAGAGACACAGAACAAAGGTCAGCAAAATGCAGCTGCAGCTGTATGGTTGCCTTAAGCTGCCTTAACAGACACCAGATTCTGTCCATGTCATCAGTGCCATACAGAAACGTGATGAGGAGAAACAAGAGCAACCCACCTCATCAGAATAGCGGCTAACAAACCAATTTGGCAAACAGACTTTATTTCATTTGGTGAACTGGAAGGCGCTAGAACCAGTCAGACAAATCTCTTGCCAATGTACACTATGTCTCAGGGGTGAGATCAATTACAGATGAAGCTGGAGCATGGACTGGATTGGTGCCACAGCAAAGGCTCACAACTGCTTGGAGAATGGCCTTGCTTGCACTCATGCAGAAACCATCAGCAATGCCTTTGTTTCAGGCATTGGATTATGCACCCTAACCTAGCTGAGAAGCATTTACATTTCCAGGTGTTTCTCCATTGCATGTTTTGAGAGCAAGAAGTCAAACACCATTTGTTGAAGGCCAGTCGCACACCTCAGCCTAGCACCGAGGCTTTCTCAGTACTCACACTGGTTATGTCAGAGTAAGCAGAACATTGGCCTCTCCTCAGCTGAACAAGCACTAAGTAACCTTCATGCTGAAAAAACAAGTTCCTCAGTGCATCACACAAACATAGGGATTGACTTTTGGTAAAAATAATGGGCATCTGAGGGAAACAAACAGGTACACAAACACATCCAATATCATTCGGGTAATAACTGGGCCTCTCTATGCTTGGAAATACTTGACATATGAACAGCCTTCACTGCAAGTGATAGCTAGGACAGCGAGCCTGTAAATATCAAATAGGAGGGGTGGATTGATGCCTGGTTTACCCCACAGCTGAGCATCCACTTTGCATACAGGTTGGCATGAACAGTAAAGCCAGTTGGCACCTATGCTTCATTTACCATGCAACCCTTTGGCAAACTCCTAATGAGTTTAGATTTCAGGCTGTTTTACAGTGATCGCTCTCAATTTAGGTGTCAGGTGCCAAAATTCTGACAACTCCATAGTTCATCCACCTATAAAATGGTTTTAATTATCAGTTCAGAGAGTGACTTAAATGAAAACTTAATTAACTACATAATGCACTTAAGACGTCTGCAAATGAGTAAGATACATGTGTGAGGTGTTGGCTATTATATGCAAATGAGGTAGAAAGATGTTACGAAGCAACCAACAACAGTAATTTTTCTCACCTTTCTTTCAGATTTCACAGTGATAATGGAACTTCCAAATCTTGATAGTTCCTGTAAAATAACATCGCTTGTTATAATGCTGTTAGTTTTTTTAAAGTGAGACTTTTAAATTTCTCACAATAGTTTGTTTTCTGGTTACTTACCTCAGGAGAAATCAGGACATACTGTGCCTGAAGAAGAAAGAGAAAAAAAAAAAGTCAGTGGTGAGAACCACACCAGGAGAGCAGAAGACCAGTGCAATAACCCTGGGTCCTAATCAGTAAAGGAATTCAAGAACAATGCGAGGAGCCAAATCACACAGATTCAGAAACAATAAGTAGCGTTCTGTTTTCTGAAATCAAGTCAGAAAGCACCAGATATTTGCACTGGATGTAATTAATTAGCTGTCATTATGACCTCATGTCCTGATTTCACTTTTTTCTTACCCATTCCTCAGGACAGGGAGATGTCCATGATTTGCAGTGGTCTGTCACCTTCCCTGAGGATGCCTGCTTTCCGTTGTAAATGTAAACACGGCCAGCAACCCCACCAAATAATATTGTGGTGATATCGTTAGTTCGTAGTGGGGACGTCACAATCATTTCATCTGCAAATATTACCAGGAAGACATAACACATCAGAAGTGAAATAACACTAAACTGAAACGCAAGAGTTGGCATGTTGGCATTTACATACCTCTAGATGCCACAATTCCTATTAATGATGACAGACAAAATGTTTCAATTTCTGATTAAGCTGCTTGGGATTTTAGAGATGCCTCCCCACAAGGCAGGATGGAATACTTGTAAAAGTCAATTGAGGAAGCAGGCTGTGTTTAGCACTTGTATGAATATGTAGGGACCAGTCTTCCCACTGGCAGAAGTAAAACATTTCAACCTCTGACCCTAGATTCATCAAGCTTTACCTAGTCCATCATTATCCAGGTCACTTAGGTACACATCTCCTCCAAAGCGCGAAAACCTCCTGTCCCCGCTGAATGTGCTGAGCAAAGAAGGCTTGGTGCTGTCTGTCAGATCGTACACCAGAGCCAGTCCAGCTTGGTGCAGCACTGAGGATATAAACGAAATCCTAGACAGGCTATCTGGAAAAAAAAAAGAAGTAGTTACACAAGTTGAGCATCCGACATAGGAATTCAGGTTTAGTACTTGCAATACATTGGCAGCAGATAATACTGGCATTACATAACATGGACAAAATCAATGCAATTTATGAATACGAGCAAACATTATATGGCACTAACACTAATTAGCATAGAGACAATCTCTTAGTGATAGTAGCAGGGGAAAAACGCATTCAAGTTGGAGTTCTACATTTTGACTTTCCCAATTCCTTATTACCTACTGCCAGAGTAAGGACAAAATACTGTGTTGTTTTAATTCCAAGAAATATGCAGTCTACTAGCAAATCACTGCTACATAAATAATGCAAGGCAATAATGCTCCTAAACTAATTTTAAGGAAGGAAAAAACCCACTGAAGTTGAGGCATAGTAGAGAGGACTCTACAGGTAAGGCATTTGTAGGTGATTACAGTGATTGTTTTGTGTTTTTTTTTTTAAATTATGTGGCAATTAAAGGGTCCCTTTTCTAACTTTTAATTTTGTATCTATCCTCTGGCCATATAGAAACAAAGGTCCCAAATAAGAAATGGTTTCCAGTTTTCAGAAAGACATACCTGCAGTAGGTGCACCCACTACCAAAACTGTCCTTGTGATCCCAGCCACAGACATCACACCACTGGCCAGAGACAAACCCATTCTGCTCATCACCTGTTAGATTTTTAAGACACCTATGTAATTTCTACAGAATGCCACTTAATTTCATATTATTTATAAGGTTCCATACTATGGAAGGAGCCCTACCTTGTCTCCAGTTACTGCAAACCAGTGCTTTGTGCTTGGTGGGTTATACCCATACACCTTCCCAACACTCTGTCTGACATCCGATGAGAAGGGATTGCAGCTTGAATTACAATGCAAAATACATTTGTATGTAACAACATATTTTTGTGCATTCAGCTAGGAGTGTTCCTCTTAAAATATTTGCCCCTTTTCTTTTGGAATAACAGTGGCTGCCAAATTCTAGAAATCTCTTTTAGTAATTCCCATACTTGTTCTAACTAGTTACAAGACATTTAGGGCACAGGCTGGGTCTGTTTATCCACTTCTTCATCACAAATACATTTTTGGGTTGGGTTTGCTTTTAAAAATGGTATCTCAAAGTAAGTGCTACCTATAAGATTATTTGAGGCATACTTACCTGTTAGCATTTTTGTGCTCCCTCTCCCCCTCCCGAAGAACAACCAACAAATTCTTAGGTTTCTCTAAATAACAAAGACCCTCTCTATAAAGGGTCTAAGGACAGACACCCCCTTCACGAGGAAGGATGAAGGTATAAAAATATGAATTTAATAGAAATATTCTAAGCAGGACAAAGACGAAACTTCCTGAAAAGCTGGAATCCTAATCTATTACAAATCTTAACCATTGTAGAAGTAGGGCAGAATGGAGGAGAGAGCGAGCTGTCACACACAACACACCCTGCACAACTCTTCCACGTAGGGCTACCAATCAGCAGCAATGTGACGTTCTCCAGCTGGCAGTTGTCAAGTGAAAATCCAAACCAAGCATAGTTTTCTTCCCCCTTCACCATCCAGTTGGCATCCTCTACTGACAGAAGTCCTGACAGACCAGAAAAATATTAATTCAATCTTGGTGTACCCTGGCATAGAAAAATCTGTTAGCAATCCTCCACCGATGCATCCTACAACAAGTTTCTATAAGCAAAATTACACCATCCGTGGCATGGCACCAGTTATTGCTAACTTTGCTTGCTCAGTCTGCAACTGTACTGGCTGCTGAAAGCCATAAACCAACACAGCCTGCTTCTAAATCCTTGCAATAGCCTACACAAAGTACATGAAAACTATCAGTCAAGTCTGCCCTAAACTAGTGACTCCTTCTTAGGGACAGGACAACATTGAAACTGTTTATCAGGACTTGTCATTCTTCAAGGTCTGTGGGCGGGGAGCTTCAAGTAATTCTGGCTTTAGTTCAAATAATTAATTCTGTGGTTTTTTGTTTTGCAAAAATGTCAGTCAGCAATGTTTTGAAACCCATTTTCCTTGTGGTTTCTAATTTTACCTGAAGTAGAACAAGCTACAGAAATTAAGCGTTATTGAAAATGTCAATTGAATTATTCTGACAAAGCTCTGAATACCTGCGTATCCTGTCCAACCTGTATTAAGTTTATTTACCACCATATGTGGCCTTTCCTCCCTCATTCACAGCAATCCTCATCACCCGTGCTCATCAGCTGTATTCACTTGTAGCATTCCTCTTTAGCCATATGGAGGAGCATACGGAAGGATAAAAATTCATCTTTTGAGGTACATCTGCAAATTTCCAAGGAAGACCATTGATTCTGCCCTGGTATCACTGATACACAGTTGAACCCATTGCTTTAGCAAGGCTTTCAACACTGTCTCTTACAATGTTCATGTATCCAAGCCTGGACAGTGCAGTCTGAACAGGTGGAAAACCAGGTGGGAAAAGCCTCACAGGGCAGCAGTTAGTGGGTTATACTCTGAATGCCTGTGACAGACAAGTGGGAGTGCCTTCAGGGGCCTGTCTTTGGACTCATCCTGTTAAACGCTTTTATAAATGATCTGCAGAAGGTAACAACATGCCCTTTCGTGAAGCTGGCAGATGACAGGAGACTGGGGCGGAGGGGGGAGGCTATCACTTGAGGGCAGTGCTACCATTCAGAAGGACCCAGACAGGCTGGAGGAACAAGCAGACAGGAACCTCACAAAATTCATCGGGGACAAATGCAAAGCCCTGCCCCTGGGAAAGGAGGTGCCCTTGCAGGGATACAGGCTGTGCACAGACTGGCTGGGGACCAGCCATGAGGAAAAGGTCCTGAAGATCCTGGTGGGCAGAGAGCTGAGCATGAGGCTCTGACAGCAGAGATGGCCAACAGCATCCCAGGCTATACAAGCAGGAGCATGGCAAAGAGACTGAGAGAAGTGATTATTCCCCCTTTACTCCTTCCTAGACCACACCTATAATATACTGTTCAATTCTGGACCTGACAAAACAGGAAAGATGTTGATTAACTGGAGCAAATGTAGTAGAGGGCTCCCAAGACAGCTGGGGGCTGGAGCACTTGCGCTGTGAGCAGAGACTGAGGGACCAGGACTTACTCAGCCTGGAGAAGAGAAAGAAGGTTTCGAGTGGACCTAACAGGGTGCTGCCTGCCAGTACCTATGAGGAGGTTAACAAGGAGATGAAGCCGGGCTCTTTCAGTGTACTGGGGTACTTAGGGGCCTTCTGTGCCTCTGACTTCACTATGCATGAAGGTGGGAGGACAACAGACAATGAGCATAAGCTGAAACAAGAGAGGTTCATACTGGCTGTTAACAAGACATTTTTTTCCCCATGAGGACAGCCAAGAAGTGGAACAGCTGCCCAGAGTGGCTGTGCAATCTCTATGATTGGAGGTTTTTAAGACCTGACTGGATAAAGCCCTGAGCAATCTGTTCTGGCTTCATATTGAGTAGGAGGCTGGGCTAGACACCTCCTGAGATCCCTTTGAACCTGAATTATGCCATGATTAATTAGGAACAAATGAACAGTCACAGAAAATATGGGAGGATTAATTTACCTTGGTCACTCCTGTTGAAATAAGAGTAAAATGCAACCACAAATCCTCTCTGCTGCCCACCACCAGGTGCGTATGGAGAGCCCACAACCAGATCAGCTTTTCCATCCCCATCAACATCAGCTGCCAGGAGGGACCAACCAAGATTACAGTAGGAATACTGCAACAAACAGTTAGTTTAAGCCTGAAATGGAACTGAAACCACCAATTCTATAACAAAATAGAGCAATTTACTTCTAAAAAGCTAACTTCTGATCAAATTACCCTCCCCCTCCCTGACTTCAATTTTATTTTCTTTGGGGTTTTTTTGGAGGACTATAGATCTTTCTGTTCACCCTGCTGCCTCCCCTGCACTGGAGTACAAATGTCTTTCCCACATACAACCAGCCCAGGCAAGCACCTGATTGCACCATCAGTCTAAATTCCCTTGCAATTAGAAGTTTGATTTTAACATTCTTTTTTTCTAAGCCCACAAACCCCTTTCCCCTTTATCTCACCTCCTGCTGGTGTAGCCCTGTGTTAGCCTGATCAATATACCTGACAAGTTATGGTAACGTTTGGTTGAGATGCCAAGCCTCTTCCCTCAGTGCCAAAATAGACATACACAGCACCCTAAACAGCAGGAAAAGCAAATACAGCATGAAACCATCTGCATGTCAGCACCAAGTATGAAATCTAAGACAAGGCACAAGGAGTGAAACAGTTCTGCAAAGGCTCTTAATACAACTACATTTTTCCTATCAGAGCCTTCTCATAATACTGTCTTTTTCACCCCAAACCTAAGAATACCCATGGGTACTGCTATAACCAGGCAACAAACTAGAGAAGTACAGAAAAGTACATTTTCATCGTAGTGTGGATAAGGAGCAAGGACATTATATTGTATATTACATTTGTTATACACACATTCAGGTGGCTTAAGTTTTGTTAATTATTATTTAATGCGAAGGCACACAGTGCCAGGCACAACAGATGCATGCAGTTTTCCAAGCTAGTTGGTCTACATAAAAGTATTTAAATTCCTATTTAGGCAGCTAAGTATCTGAAATTCTGAAGAGTTTTAAGCTTAATGGATGTGGTTTAAACCAAAACATTTTGCCACCCAGTTGGTGTGGGCCAAAAATACTCAGGAACCATTACATGGGCTTATCTGGTAGGCTGCAAGTCATTAAGCCTCTGTAACTTGATTATTTTAGCAAGTGTGTCTGTTCATATCACATTTTAGATATCATCTGTTGGCCTGTGACAGCAGATGACAAGGCTCACTGACCCATGAGGTCCGTTCCAGACAATCTGTTCCTAAATAAAAAGGGTACACTTGTATTTCATGAATGGCTCCTTACATTTCCAGCACATCAGTACTGCAAAGTTGCAATCTCATTTGGATTTCTAATGTGCAAAAAGATCACTGACAGAGAAATACAGATAGCTGTTATTGCTCTAGTCAAAGTACCCATAAAGGTTATAAACCTTTGCATTTAAATTAGTGTCACCTTGAGCAACAACAGAAATTAATTTCA